AACGTCATCTGTTTGTCAACAAATAAAAACAATGGTTACCTACATACTTTCCTTACCTTACCTTACATTACCTTACCTTACATTACATTACCTTACCTTACCTTACTTTACCTTACCTTACTTTGCATTACATTACATTACTTTACATTACCTCACCTTACATTACATTACTTTAAATTACATTCATCTACCACAGACCCATCTTAAACGTAACTTATTCAAGTTAAATAAGCAATGTCTTAATCAAACTTTACTCAATTGTAAAGCAAGTATAAAGGAAATATTTAAAATAAAGCCAATATATAAAATTCCTTTCCGTATAAACGTATTTACGTAAAATTCTCCGGAACCGTGGTTCCACTGACAACTTTTTCGTAACACATTTTTGCCGAATGACCCTTCCTTATAGACGTATTTACGTCAAAATATATGAGCGAGGAAAAGGTAGTTTATCTTAACACAGTGACTACAAAACTAAGTAACAGTTAAGGAATTAATTAATTGAGTAGATACAGTGAAGGTAGCAGCCCTAACCTCTACACAACATAAACCACGTCGATCATCCATCTTTATCCCTTCTTGTATACAATTAAACTGAGCCTGAAGTCTTCTTCAGTTATTTTACAACTGGCATGAACTGTATTGCGTATTACGCAGAGTTCATCGAACCTTCTTTCGACCTTTCCTGGCCCTCTCTCAAAGACTTGCGACAGGACAAGAAATTTTTCCAATTTCATAGCAGACCACGACTATGAGGCCTGTCTGATCTCAGTGCAGCACACCACGTGCACCCATGCACGCAACGCCATTCTTGTCCAGTCATTCCTAAGGTGATGAGCCAACATTGGTGCACAATGCAATCCTGAAACAGTTCAAACAAATCAGGTTTCAAAATTACCGGAAACAGGGAACAGAAGAATAAAACAACATACATACATACATACAACAAAATAAAGACACTTCTCCATATAATTTACATACCATATAAACTACACCTTCCTACTTACAGCGTGACTTGTTTCTGTAGCAAGTAACACAAATTTCTATGTTTCTTAAAAACGATTGGTTAATTATGTTTCCTTCCCAATTTATCTGAATTTAAAGTCTGTTAATACAACATCTGATGACATTCAAAAGCTTACCGCTATAACAGATGGCATTATATCAAATTAAAAATTATGTAGATGCTATAGCTTGTCACATCATTTCCAGGAAGATTATCACCATTCGGATAAGAGACAGACTACAATAAAAATATTCATTTTAATTAATAACATTAATTCGGAAAAACTTACATGAAATCATGATAAACATCACTACAGTCATCAGGCAATAGGACTGTCTCCATGATATAGAATGACGGATGGCATACTGTAGTTATAGTTAAAATGGCCCCATACACCAATGCTCCTGCAGAAAATAAAACTCCGAAGACAAACAACTGGTGATTCTTGTCTCCGATACAACAATCCAACCTTAAAATAAAATAAGGATGATTAATATGCAAAAAACATAACCTACAATTGATCTCATAACTTCCTCTTATTACTTTCCTGAAATCATAAGTAGATAAAAAAATTCACCATAAGCAGTTTTTAAAAGTGTACTCTAATTCAGGATTCAGAAAACAGCAGGTGCCAGGCCACTAGGGCAATTACCATTTACAATAATAACTGCTTTTATTTTATGTCTGTTTCCAGTCTACAGAGATTCCACGCTCAACAGCGAATACAATACAGAACTGCTCATCTCAGATAGCAATAAGTTCTTCTGAAATATTTTACTGGGGGGTGTACATGTCCTGAAAATATGCCAAAGCACCATGAATGATGATGATATTTTACTGAAGAACTAATAAAACACTTAGTCACAACTTGTCCATTCATACTCATACTCAAAAGCCATACCACACACAGTGATGGTCACGCTTAATGACGCAAGCTTGACATATGCGACAGTGGAAGGTACTAGGCGGAAATCTTCGTCTGTACACAGAACAAACCAATTCTGTTTCAT